GTGTCTAGATCCAGGGAAGTCATGCTACCCCTCTATTCTGCCTTGGTTAGACCACACCTGGAATATTGTGTCCAATTCTGGGCACCACAATTGAAGAGAGATATTGACAAGCTGGAATGTGTCCAGAGGAGGGTGACTCAAATGATCAAGGGTCTGGAGAACAAGCCCTATGAGGAGCGGCTTAAAGAGCTGGGCATGTTTAGCCTGAAGAAGAGAAGGCTGAGAGGAGATATGATAGCCATGTATAAATATGTGAGAGGAAGCCACATGGAGGAGGGAGCAAGCTTGTTTTCTGCTTCCTTGGAGACTAGGACGCGGAACAATGGCTTCAAACTACAAGAGAGGAGATTCCATCTGAACATGAGGAAGAACTTCCTGACTGTGAGAGCTGTTCAACAGTGGAACTCTCTGCCCTGGAGTGTGGTGGAGGCTTTTAAACAGAGGCTGGATGGCCATCTGTCAGGGATGCTTTGAATGCAATATTCCTGCTTCTTGGCAGGGGGTTGGACTGGATGGCCCAAGAGGTCTCTTCCAACTCTTTCATTCTATGAATCTATGATCCTATGATTCTATGGGAGAGCCGTTCAGCAGTGGAACTCTCTGCCCCGGAGTGTGGTGGAGGCTCCTTCTTTGGAAGCTTTTAAACAGAGGCTGGATGGCCATCTGTCAGGAGTGCTTTGAATGCAATATTCCTGCTTCTTGGCAGGGGGTTGGACTGGATGGCCCATGAGGTCTCTTCCAACTCTGATTCTATGTGAGAGCAGTTCAGCAGTGGAACTCTCTGCCCCGGAGTGTGGTGGAGGCTCCTTCTTTGGAAGCTTTTAAACAGAGGCTGGATGGCCATCTGTCAGGGGTGATCTGAATGCAATATTCCTGCTTCTTGGCAGAATGGGGTTGGACTGGATGGCCCATGAGGTCTCTTCCAACTCTTTGATTCTATATTCTAATAAACTGCTTGCTGATTTTACCAAGTTGGTGTGATGTTTAAGGTCAGAGGTGTTCCTGCTCTGGAGTACAATACTATTTTTCTTAATTCAATAAATATTTTTGAATCTAAAGTTCTGACTCTGCAAATCAGAGGCGGCCCTAGGTAATTTTCAACGGTAAGCAAACAGTATTCCCCCCCCCCAATCACTGATATATATTTTCTGTTCGCCATGGGAGTTCTGTGTGCCATATTTGGTTCAATTCCATCATTGGTGGAGTTCAGAATGCTCTTTGATTGTAGGTGAACTATACATCCCAGTAACTACAACTCGCATATGTCAAGGTCTATTTCCCCCCAAGAGTGCCTCAAGAGCGCCCAGGGCAAAATCAACTATACTGCAAATGCTTACTTTGCGAAATAGGTTGAGCCACCCCTGGATTGAGTCTAAGAGCCTTGTCTAAGAGCCTCCCCAGAAAAAAATATAGTGGAGGGTTGAAAATTTCGGGGGGGGGGGTTGAAAATTTCGGGGGGGGGGTTGAAACCTGCCTCCTAGCTCACACTGAAGCAAAGAGCACAGCAGGGGGCAGAGCAGCCTTCAATAGCCTGTAGCTCCACCCTTGTCAACCACCTCTACCAAGTCTGGCCTCCTTAATGAAAGCATTAAATCTTGCCCACGAAGGACAGGCAACTGTCTTCAATAACTTCTTCTTTAAAGGAAAATCCCCTTTTTAACTTCTCCCAGGCTGACTGTAATCTAACCCTTACTGATGTGGGCTCCGCTACCGGGTCGAACTGCATCTCGAACGCTGAGTGGACCTACCAGCAAGGCAGTAGATGTTCTCCAGCTGGAGTTCTTTGGTCTTTAGGGCTGTTTTCCTGGAAATTCTTTGGAGACTCTTAAGACCTTTCTCCCCCGGAAGGTCTTAAGGGTTGAAGCTTTTGTACAGGGGAAGCTTGCACACATCCTATACATAAGCTTACCTTGCTGAGACTAACTAAAAATGGCCCCCTTCCCTTCCCAATTGCCCTGAGCAAGGGGCGGGACCAAAACTTAACAATGATGGACAGGTGACTTGCCCTATGACTGCAACCAAAGAAGCCACCTATCTGCAGAGTCCCTGAAACCTAGGACTGCAAGCAAACATTTAATACAAAGCAAATAAAGTTGGAGCTCCTGGTACAGCTGTACCAGAACAACTACATCGGCTATTGCTGCAAGTAATGACAGTGTGAATAAATTGCAATATTTGCTTGAGATAGTGCTTGCAGTTCTGGAGGGACTCTTATTTTTTGCATCTCATAGACTTAGCATGGGGATTTGGTTAACCAGTTAAAATTCATGAGTAAACCAGTTTTTTAAAAAAAATCTGAAACATTTCGGGGGGGGTTGAACCCCTAAAACCACCCCCTCGCTACAGGCCTGGTTGAGGGGCATTTACAGAGGCGCCTCTGCACCCCTGGCAAAAAAAAGTGTACTGCGACCGCTTACTTTGCGTAATGGATGAGCCGCCCCTGGGTGGAATTACCCCAACGGAGGGTCGTTTTGGAGCCTAACATCTCAGATTCCCCAACAGTATCAAACTGAATTCTTTTCACAGTGTAGATGCAACTACATCACTTTCAAGCGCCATATTCTAGGAGATATGGACCTGATTCAAAGACTAAATATTCATTTTCCTGGTTTGTTGACACTCTGGTCCTTTTTTCAACCTGTTTTTTTTGCTCAGTTGCTCAGCCCTAAGGAAAATATTGCAGCTCTCATTCGAGTATAGTGCAAGTTCTTCCTCATCTTCCAGACTTGGAGAAACGTCTGTAGGAATCTTTACTCTGGGGGCTGGAACGGATGATTCAGAATGATCCGGCATATTCTGCAAGGACAGCTCAATGTTTGGCTTGTCGAAACAAAACCTACCCGCCTTTCCGCCTCAACGTCACCAGACATTTCATTGCTTCGATGCCCCAAAACATTTCCCTGGAAAATTAAAAAAATACCCACAATGGAAAGTGGTATTTTGTTTTGGAATTGCCCAGCATGTTTGACTCATGTTCAGAAGTTATTTCCTTTAGCAGTAGCCTAAATTCTAAATCGGGTGAAAATTCAGCACCAGGCTCTATTCTGCAAACAAAATTCTGCAACCTGCATAAATTAGACCACCGGACATGCATTTGTAGTACAAATGGTTCTGCAATAGTTATTATTCTATATTGTCGAAGGCTTTCATGGCTGGAATCATTGGGTTGCTGTAGTTTTTTTCAGGCTATATAGCCATGATCTAGAGGCATTCTCTCCTGACGTTTTGCCTGCATCTATGGCAAGCATCCTCAGAGGTTGTGAGGTCTGTTGGAACTAGGAAAATTGGGTTTATATATCTGTGGAATGACCAGGGTGGGACAAAGGACTCTTGTCTGTTGGAGGTGGGTGTGAATGTTTCGACTGATCACCTTGATTACCATTTGATTGCCTGGCAGTGCCTGGAGCAATCTTTTGTTGAGAGGTGATTAGAGGTCCTTGTTTGTTTCCTCTCTCTTGTTGTGCTGTTCAGACTATATGGCCATGTTCTAAAGGCATTCTCTCCTGACGTTTCGCCTACATCTATGGCAAGCATCCTCAGAGGTTGTGAGGTCTGTTGGAACTAGGAAAATGGGTTTATATATCTGTGGAATGTCCAGGGTGGGACAAAGAACTCTTGTCTGTTGGAGCTAGGTGTGAATGTTTCAACTGACCATCTTGATTAGCATTTATTTATTTATTTACGACATTTATATGCCGCCCTTCTCACCCCAAAGGGGACTCAGAGCGGTTTACAAGTAAAAAGTAAATACAATATATTATATTATTATCATAGCACAATATTAATATTATATATTACATATATAACATTATACTGTAATATTATTCGTAATATTACATTTAATATAAAATATTTAATTATAATATCATTTTATTATTATTAGTAGTATATTGTATTACATTATAATATTATCAACATTTGATGGCCTGGCAGTTTTTTTGTCTGGCTTGTTAGTGCCTGGGGCGATCTTTTGTTGAGAGGTGATAAGCTGTCCCTGATTGTTTCAACAGAAAGGAGGAAACAATGAAAATGAACAAAATCTGACTACCGGTATTAAAAAACCTCTAAAATTACAACAGCAAAACAATAGAGAGGAAACAATCAGGGACATCTAATCACCTCTCAACAAAAGATTGCCCCAGGCACTAACAAATTCTGGCTACTTGTATTTAAAAACTCTAAAATTATAACAGCAAAACAACAGAGAGGTTTTTCTTTTTTGGTCATGTCAGGAGCAACTTGAGAAACTGCAAGTTGCTTCTGGTGTGAGAGAATTTGCCGTCTGCAAGGACGTTGTTCAGGGGACGCCCGGATGATTTTTTGATGTTTTATCATCCTTGTGGGAGGCTTCTCTCATGTCCCCACATGAGGAGCTGGAGCTGATAGAGGGAGCTCATCCGCCTCTCCCCGGATTCGAACCTGCGACCTGTCGGTCTTCAGTCCTGCCGGCACAGGGGTTTAACCCGCTGCGCCACCGGGGGCTCCTAACAGAGAGGTAACAATCAAGGACATCTAATCACCTCGCAACAAAAGATTGCCCCAGGCACTAACAAGCCACGCCAAAAAACTACCAGGCCATCAAATGCTAATCAAGGTGGTCAGTTGAAACATTCACACCTAGCTCCAACAGACAAGAGTTCTTTGTCCCAGCCTGGACATTGCACAGATATATAAACACAATTTTCCTAGTTCCAACAGTCCTCACTACCTCTGGGGATGCTTGCTATAGATGCAGGCGAAACGTCAGGAGAGAATGCCTCTAGAACATGGCCATACAGCCCGGAAAAAACCTACAACAACCCGTCATTATTCTGCTTTAACATTCTTTAGACTTTTGCTCGTCATATGGCGGAGCAAGGCCTTGCAACCCCACCGCTCCGAACATCTGAATAATGTCCTTTCCTTTTAGTTCTCTCGTTCACAAGAGCTTGACAATTGGATGAGTCTTTGGCTCTTTTCGAAAAGAAGAAATCTTTGGTTCTCTAGAAGATAAATTGTGCTTTTCTATATAAGAGTTTTGCCTGTTTTCCTTGAAATTTTCCCTTGATGAAGGCAATATCCTTGAGGAAACCAAGATAAATAGGACAATCCTGTAAAGTTTCGGCCCATTGCATGGAATTCCTTGCATCTAAAGAACTGTCAACAAAGAGGAGGACAAGGAGAAGAAAGAAGAGGTGGAAGGTCCTCTACTTGAAGACAGTGACACAGTTGAGTCTTTGTTCCCAGCCCTCAGACCCAGTATTGGCTGTTCTTTAAGGCCGGATTGGATGTCCTACAATACTGTAGAAGTTCTGGCTCCTGTTGTCCACCTGGCCCTAAACCTTTTGAGTTGAGTCCTCCTTCTTTGGCCTCCAGTGTGCTGACTGTCGATAAAGGAATGCCTTGGTTGGGCTCGGTCTTCCGGAAGGTCTCCTGGTCAACGACGGTCCCGTTCTTGTATTTGGGGGGCGTCCCTTGGACGTTGTGCTTGCCCGTCTTGTTCCGCTTGTGGAGGTAGAAGAGCAAGGGCAGGATCAAGGCCAGGAGCAGAAGAATGAGGCAGATGGGCAGGATGATGCTGAACATGTTGGCTTCGATGAAACTGAGAAACGTTCCCCTTTCTGCTGGAGGGGACATGGTGGTTAATATCCCTTGGTCCAGTAATGCTGTTGGATGAACTGGTTGCTCACTGGGATTCTGGCTGGATGGTTTGGACTCAAAAGGGCTGTTGGTTAATGTTTGGGGAGAAGAAGTTCTGTCTTGGTGAGTGGAGCTGGAGTCCTTCTCTCGTAAACTGGGCACTTTCAGGAGCGTTACTCCATAGGACTTTGTGGAGTTGAAGGCCTCAGTGGTGTACTCCAAAAACTCCAGAGCTGGGGGAACTCCCTCAGCTGCCAACTCAAACTGGAAACTGTCTTGTTCTCGCCTTTCTTCAGAGTCCTCCACCTCCCAGATTTCTAAGCCAACCAGACCTTGCTCAAGATCATGCTGAGTGAAGGTATCAATGGGGACAATTTGGTTTGTAGGATCTCTGGAGACTTTGACAAACTGGCTTCTTTGGGGACCTTGAAGGATTTTGAACTCAGGATTACTCTTGGTCTTGTTGGCCAGTTCACGTGCATCAAGGATGCTGGTGTCAAGCTGGATAGTGGTTCCTCTTGGCCAGAGAGCATCTTGTTGAGTTTTGACCAAGGCCTTCACTGTGACGCTCACCACACCTGATATATTGACCTCTCCTGATGTGGCAAGGAACTGGAAACCATCCTCAGAGGAGACAAAATCAGTGAAAGTAAACAATACTTCTCCATTATCCACTTGCTCCTGTGAAAATTCCTTCACGGGTTTTTGGTTGACCTCGATTTGGCCAAATTGGGGGTCTCCAATGATTCTATAGAGAGCATTGTCCTCCCCTTCATCCAAAGTCCCTAGAAGATGGTCATGGGACAACGAGGCCACATTAACGTCCTGTGGTATCTCCAAAAGTGTCTGATTGGTTGCCCAGATGATTGCTGGAATAACCATGATCTCCAAGGAAGTAAAAATGGTTGGATTGTGTCCATCAGAGATAGCAAGATCTAAAGTCCCAGAAGAGCTAGTTCCATTGGCGATGAACATTATGCGCCCTGTGTTGATGTCTGCTTGTGTAAACTGGGCAACAGGCACTTGCTTATTGTGGACATGGGTCACAAACCCGCTGGATGATCCAGAAAGGATGTCATATTTGATTTCCTCTGGGGAGCTGTCAGGATCCTTGACATTCAAGTGCTCTTGGGAGATCACCAAAGATGAACCGTGAAGGACTCGCAGAACATGTTCTTGGCTGACCAGTCGTGGAGGGACCTCATTACTGTCCTTCACTGTGATGTTGAATATTCCAGAAATGACAGGTCCTTCTTCCTTTTGTGGAGGCTGAATTGATTTCACATCAAGAGGCCGGAGCCAAGCGCTAAATCGGAAATGGTCATCCAGGGTTCCGGGTCCATGGTGAGCATACTCCAAACCACCTGCAGCAAGGTCAGATTGTAGGAAATAGGGGTGCTCTCTATTGACTGGACCATCTGGTACAGACAGGGTTCCATAAGCAGGTAGCTGGGTGACCAGAAACAACACATCATAGGACGGTTTCTTGGCATCGGGTTCTTTAAAGGCAAGGAGGTTGGAAGCATCCAGTAATGAGATGTCTATCGCTCTGCTTTGAGCTTCTGGAAGAGTGAGACCTGAAAAAGAGCATGAAGGGATAGGTCATTGTATGATCTCAGTATGTGCATTCACAACTAGATTTTGGAAGGGATGTTACACATGTAACACAACTACGAGGGTTGAATGAAAAGTAATGCCTCCACCTTTGTTACTTGGGTTTGGATGGGAATATTTTAATAAATCAAACGCAGAAATAATCCTTAGAATGTGCTCTTTAACTACCACTATTCACTTTTCCACATAATCACCAGACAATTGGATACATTTCTGCCAACGATGAACAAGATTCTTTTCCACATAATCACCAGACAATTGGATACATTTCTGCCAACAATGAACAATTTTTCTGAAGTCACGGAAGAAGTCGACACTCTGTTTCCACAACCAGCGTCTCACAGTTCTTTCAACCACTATTTGCTTTTCCACATAATCACCAGACAATTGGATACATTTCTGCAACAATGAACAAGTTTTCTGAAGCCGTTGCGGAAGAAGTCAACACTCTGTTTCCGCAACCAGCGTCTCACAGTTCTCTCAACCACTATTCACTTTTCCACATAATCACCAGACAATTGGATACATTTCTGCCAACAATGAACAAGTTTTCTGAAGCCGTTGCGGAAGAAGTCAACACTCTGTTTCCGCAACCAGCGTCTCACAGTTCTCTCAACCACTATTCACTTTTCCACATAATCACCAGACAATTGGATACATTTCTGCCAACAATGAACAAGTTTTCTGAAGCCGTTGCGGAAGAAGTCGACACTCTGTTTCCGCAACCAGCGTCTCACAGTTCTCTCAACCACTATTCACTTTTCCACATAATCACCAGACAATTGGACACATTTCTGCCAACAATGAACAAGTTTTCTGAAGCCGTTGCAGAAGAAGTTGACACTCTGTTTCCGCAACCAGCGTCTCACAGTTCTCTTAACCACTATTCACTTTTCCACATAATTGGATACATTTCTGCCAACGATGAACTGGTTTTCTGAAGCTGTCACGGAAGAAGTTGACACTCTATAGCCTGAAAAAACCCACAAGAACCTAGTTGACACTCTGTTTCTGCAACCCATCGTGCACAGATCTTCCAATAGCCAAGCAAAGCAATACACTTGAAATTTCACTCTGAGTGATATGATGATCGTCCTGAATCAATCTGTCAACTTTTTGCTTGTGAAACTCAGTGGTTGCTGTCACAGGACATCCAACTCTTTGTTTGTCATGCAAGTCAGATGTTCCCACCTCAACATCTTTAAACTTACTCGGCCAACGATGCTCAGTACTCACATCAACACAATCATCATAAACAGCTTGCATTCTCTGATGAATCTCCTTTGAGGTGACACCATCTTCTGTCAAGAATTCAATGACTGCACGTTGCTTAAGTTGCATTGACCAACTGTCTGCGCAGAGTTCCATACGTCACACTTTAACAACACAACTGTTCAATGCTAAGGCTTCATCCAAAATGGAACTGTAGAGGAGAGTCTACTGAACAAGCCAGTACCTGCCACATACCAGTACTGCCATATGTTGAGGAGTTATGAAGGTGGAGGCATTACTTTTCATTCAACCCTGGTAGTATATAACAGTGATGGCCCCTGGTCTCTATGTTGATCAAATTATGAATGTCCTCCAGGATTTAGTCTAGACCAGTGGTTCTCGACCTTCCTAATGCCGCGACCCCTTCATACAGTCCCTCATGTGGTGGTGACCCCCAACCATAACATTGTTTTTGTTGCTACTTCATAACAGTCATTTTACTACTGTTATAAATCATAATGTAAATATCAGATATGCAAGATGTATTTTTATTCACTGGACCAAACTGGGCACAGATACCCAATGCAACCACATGTAAATGCTAGTGGGGTTGGGGGAGGATTGATTTTGTAATTTGGGAGTTGTAGTTGCTGGGATTTATAGTTCACCTATAATCAAAGAGCATTCTGAACTCCACCAGCGATGGATTTGAACCTAATTTGCCACACAGAACTCCCATGACCAACGGAAAATACTGGAAGGGTTTGGTGGGTATTGACCTTGAGTTTGGGAGTTGTAGTTCACCTATATCCAGAGAGCACTGTGGACTCACGCAATGGTGGATCTGGACCAAACTTGGCACAAATACTCAATATGCGCAAATGTGAACACTGGTGGAGCCTGGGGAAAATAGACCTTGACTTTTGGGAGTTGTAGTTGCTGGGATTTATAGTTCATTACAATCAAAGAACATTCTGAACTCCACCAATGATAGAATTGGCTCAAACTTCCCACATGGAATCACCATGACCATCAGAAAATACTGTGTTTTCTTATGGTCTTTGGCGACCCCTCTGACACCCCGTCGTGACCCCCTCAGGGGTCCCGACCCCCAGGTTGAGAAACACTGGTCTAGATTTTAATGCTGGTGGACTGTATCCTTAGAACAGGTCCAACCCTACTTCAGTGTCTCACTGGCATGGAAGTTTGGCCATGGGCAAGTCACACTTTCTCAGCCTCAGAGGAAGGCAATGGCAAAACTTTCCTGAACAAATATCACCAAGAAAACTTTGTTAAAAGATCATAGGTCAGAAATGGCTTCAAACTACAAGAGAGGAGATTCCATCTGAACATGAGGAAGAACTTCCTGACTGTGAGAGCCGTTCAGCAGTGGAACTCTCTGCCCTGGAGCGTGGTGGAGGCTCCTTCTTTGGAAGCTTTTAAACAGGGGCTGGATGGCCATCTGTCAGGGGTGATTTGAATGCAATATTCCTGCTTCTTGGCAGAATGGGGTTGGACTGGATGGCCCATGAGGTCTCTTCCAACTCTTTGATTCTATGATTCTATGATTCTATGAAATGATTTGAAGGAACACAGCAGCAATCTCACAGGAGCTTTTGTGCTCTATTCTATGCTCAACGGGTCTATATGCTGTGAATGTGGACATTGGCTTTACCTTTGTTCCTCCACAATCGAGTGGAGCTCTGTGGACAGCTGTTCTCAAATGATACCGACACGCCGAGGACGTATGGATCCGTTGTTATGGATGGGGTAGAAAGGCGGAAATTGAAGGAATCTTCAAGGCTCCAAAAAGGTTCAGACGGCATTTCGTGATGGTATGATATCACTCCATTGTCCACCTGGATGGATGTGTGGAAAGAAGAGGGTTGAATTAGTTATAATGAATTTTTTCCCTCCTGTTGCACTCCAGAACAGAAACGATACCCTCTGACTTTAAAACACACCACACGTTGAGTGAAAAACCAATCCTTTTTATTGAAGCTGAGTAAAACAGCCAGTAGAAAGAAATGCTTGTAAAAATAGGAAAATTTCAAAATGTAAAAGATCAGTAAAATGCAGTAATTCAAAGCAATGTCCACAAAAGATATAAAAACAACCCAAGGCAGTATTTATCCAGGCAGGAAACAACAGGTTGCAAAGATAATCCAGAAGGTGCTAGACCACAGCAAAATGCTAAAAAAATAAGAAGACCCCTTGAACAGGATTTTCAAGGCACATGAACATGATTTCCAAATGATGCCTGATCTAACAGGCTTTCCCTTGAAGCAGATCTTATATCCCAAAAATTGGTTTTGTTTTCCCCCACTCTTGCCTCTTATCTGACAAAGCTTTTTGGAGCGACGTAAACATTGGGAAGTCTGACTTGGCCACGGTGGTCCATGCTCTGGTTACATCCCATTTAGACTACTGAAA